TTCTTTATTTTATCTTTCAGTGTTCGAGGTTTAACACGTACACTGTAAGATACATTTAATAAAATTGATCGGAGATCTTTATACGAAATTTCTGCACTAATGGTTTTTATTCAAGACTATGTGCTGTGGCAGTAAAACAATAAATGTCAGCTTGGATTGCCTGGGCAGCCAACCACAGTGTATACAAGATGTATAACCACACTCTGTAGAAAAGTTCAAACATGTAGTTGAAGAAATTTCAAAACTAGAAAAATGCAAATAGTAACCTGAACATTGAGGTGTGCTACAACTCTTTCACTACTGTCTTTCTTTCCATCTCTAAGGACTGCTTCCACTGGACGACCGCCATCAAGCAGCCTGTTAAGCCTCTCAATTTCTTTATCGCGAGCTTCCACCTAGATTTGGAATGTTACAAAAAACTGAATTTAGTTAGCCTGTTATTTGCAGTAAATCCAGGAACTGTATGGCATATTTAATGTTACCCTCAGTCAATGAGTGTACAATTCAATCAGAGTAATCAAATCAGCGAATACCTCTCCTACTAAGACAGATTACAAGTAGTTCAAGGCTTTCAATGACTTACATGTGTAAGCAGTACCAGTACCAGAGCTGCAAATAACTTTTAATTATGATCCAATACGTCCACTGTATGAACAAGTGATGAGATTTACTTTGTAAATACTTACAATCATCGTTGTTTCTTTCCACCATAAATCTTATAAACAATTAAGGTATGAACAGAAAGCAGTAAAGAGGTCTTGCAAGAAGCAGCACACTTAGAGTACTGGTTACAGGCTTTTATGGAAACCCCAGGTACTCTAACATTTACCACACAGAATATTTACATTATTCTCTGAAACAATTATTATTTGCTAGAGTCTGCTGGTGGAAAAAATTGTCTGTGCTCTGTGAACATTCATGTCCACACCACCAAAGGTTCTCTGGTTTGTACCTTTATCCCTCCACAGGGTGCAAATAAAGTCAGTTTTACAGCTTGCCATTAGGGCAAGCTGTAGCTAGCATGTTCAAGCTCAAAAAAATTTCTTGATGAGCAGGAGTGATTACAGTTCTCCACTAATATTCATTCCAGAAAAAACCTTCACATGCCTGATGCATGGTTTGTACAGAATTTTTGGGGAAAAATCAAGGACTTTTCAAGGAATAAGATAATTTTTTTCAAGGACTTTTTTTCCCTGTAATTTTACATAGCATGACATGAGGTAAAGACCTTCAGAATTCGTAGCTGGAGGGGGGTTTGCTTATTGCATTGCCTTCCCCCAGAAAGGCACGGTTACTAGGGTACTTCAAATAATGGAAAATGAACTATGACAGGAACATTGAAATCATACCCAAACACACTTTCATGATCACCAAGAAAATTTGCATACTGCTGTGCTTTCAATCTTTCCTTTGCACAAAACACTTTTTTTTAAACAAAGGGTATTTTTTTTCAAGGATATCCCATAAGCAATGTTTCAATTTTCAAGACTTTTCAAGGCCCGTGCAAACCATACCAATAGCAATTGCAAGTTAAGAACAGAATTTGCTAGCCCAATGGCAAAATCCACTAGCCCCAGGCTATCGGACAGGGCTTTCTTTGCAAACTGCGCCCCCTGGTATCATAATGTTTGGCTGGCTATCAGAAATTCTGAACTCCTTTGCAGGGGTTTCAATAATATTTGAAGTAAGCAGTGGCTTTAGGGTTGACTAACCAACTGACTCTTTCTCAAAGTCCAAGGTTTTAAACAATCCTAAACTTCAATTACTTCAATTTAGGGGGCAAAAGTAGCCAAATTCTCTGACCAAATAGCAGTCACTTTTTGTTGCTCATCAGTGCTACTGAAAGCAATGACGGGGGTGAAGTTTTTTCACAAAGAGGGATGTGAGACATGTTTGTGTGGGTTGGATGGGAAGTGAAGATTCTAAGGTCATTTAAACCTGTGCTTGTGACCTCATTCTGCTCAATGCCAGGATCAGGATTAATTAATTAATTAATGGGGCTAAAGCCAATTGTGCAATTATTGCACCCATTTAAGGCATCATACTAACAAAGAATTATCGCATAAAAATATTTCCAGCAACTACAATTGCTCACTTTCATGATTAGCTTGAAAACTACAAGAGAGTTTTAACCAAGATCATGTTTCAGTTATGAACAGCCAGAACTGAGTGGCAGTTTTCACTTTTCATTTTTCAATATCTATTAGCACCAATCACTTAACTACAGGGAAAAGCAGTTTAAGCAAACATAAAACAATTGTGAATTCTTGTGGAGCTTTTCCATTACCAGGTTTGCAGGTGGAATTGATCAGCTATTGCAGATATTTACTAGATTAAGATGCATTCAATTTACTGTCCACTCTTTCAAAAATTATTGCTGTCACTAAACCACCCACTTCTGTCACTTTTAAAAACCATAAACACCTACTCAAAAATTTACTGAAAACACTGCTATAGAGCGGTTTTCACTTGACTGTCGTAAAACCAAAACCAAAGTAAATACACTAGCCAACCAAAGGGCGTAGTAAAACCAAAACCAAAACCAAAACCAATTACTTTCGACAGTCAAGTGAAAACCGCTCTAATACCTAAAGTAATATTAATAACTTTCACAGTAGAAAGTAAAATATTTACTTCAGTAGCCTGATTTGATACAATATTAACATATATATTTTTTCATTATTAGCGAAAGAATTCTTTTTTGAGACAAAATTTTAACTGAAAGTAATCTTAGAAAATTTAAAAAAATTAACATTTATTTTTCTTTTGAATATTTCAGAAGGATAAAAATTTTAACCTTGTGATAACTAAAATAACCAAAACAAGTATATAATTGAATAAAGACACTCAGTCAAAAGGAAATAAAAATAATTTAATTAAATGGCCTAGTGTTAAACACCTATCAGATCCTCTAGTTCTGTTGACATTCTTGATACCGAGCACGGGCAAGCGTATGAGGTAGTGAAGGAGCATCAGGTAGTCAAAAGATGCAAGCTGGGAAAGAGATATATCGACGACATGTATACCATACAACAAAGGATGCTAAATATAAGAATAAATAATTGACTATGAGAAAAACAAAATAATATGTGAAGCACAAAACAGAGGTGGCTTTACACTAACTTCCAGGGCATCTACAGCGACAGAGAGCTTTTGCAATTTGAAAGTCTCCTACTTAGCTTAAACTTTGCTCAAATTAAGCTTATAGTTCATTACCTGTTTTCGTAGACTTTTGTTTCGTCTTTCCGTACTCGACTTCTCGTCCTCAAGATGAGAGACTTGTTCCTGTAGTTCTTCTATTCTTGTATCAGCCACGTTTAATAAGTCAGCGACATATGGATCCTGTAAATCGTCTTTCTCGCCAGGCAAGCTACGAGCAGGAGAAACCGTACTTTCGATGTCCATTCGCTGTCGCCGAAGCGGTATTTGCTTCCTTCGACCACCAGGGGTTTCCACGACTGCGTGTAAATTTTTCTCTTGCAAATCTTGTATTCTATCGGTCTTCGCCTTGTTTTCCTTCTCCAAGGCTTTAACTTTATGTACATATTGCGTATTTAAAAATTTCAGGTCGGCATTTTCGTGCTCTAGCTTTCGAACGCTGGCTTTGAGATCCCTGATAATTTGATCAGTTTCTTCTCGTAATTTTATGAGCTGCAAATGAAGTTCGTTGTTCTCCTTTACAAGTTTGGCATTATCGCTCCTGTATGGCTCAACATTATCCTCGTAGACAGTCTTCTCCTTTTCCTGTCTACCTACTTGGAGTTTAAGGTTTTTCAAGCTTTCTGTTGTATGAACAAGATCGCTGAACAGTTTCTCGACCAGAGGAACAGATTCGATTCCAAGTGGCTGTCTGTAACCAAGCTGATCTAGACGCTTTCTGAGCGTCGTAAATTTTCGCTCTGCCATCCCAGGAGCCTCTAATGTCCCTCCTCTTCGATTCTTTTACGACTTCAGCCAAATTCATGGATATTTTCGAGGAAATATCATCTTCAGAGGAAAACCGTTACTACTGTTCGCGGTTCCAGAGCGTCTTTGACAACCGCGAAGAACGCATGCGTGACTTTCAAATTTGCCTCTGTTTTCATTAGCAGCTAAATGAGAATTCAGATTTCGATCAAGAAAGTTGGATCAGATAATTTTTGAGAAAATGTTTAATTCTTTTTACAATTTTTCAAAATCAGCTGATGCAAATTAAGAACAAACATTTTTCTAAAAATTGATGATTTTATAACAAAATCTTTGAAATACAGAGCTGCTGTTATTTTTTATGGCCGCAGTCCATGACGTTTATTTTCTATTTTTAGACGAATTTGAGAGAAACTTGAGCGTCTCAGTGAACAGGCTATGAAATAATACTTTTGCTGTTGTTGTTTGTTATTTATTCATTTCCATGACTGTATAAGAATCTGTCAGTGAAATATTACATTAAAAAATCATGATAGATCATCCTGAAACCTTCATATCAAATTTAAACATTTTTTTTATTTGAAGGTAATGCAAGGGATTTTGTGATTCAAGCCAAAGAATTAGCTTGAAGCCGGGTCAATTGATTTTGTAGGATAAATGTCGAGATTTACTGCGACCCGATTTATTTTACAGCAAAACGAGATTTAGCCTGAGAAAGACGTTTCTCTCCTGTTTTCGCAGGCTATACCGAGATATAAGGCTAATGTTTCAAGTTCACGGTCAAATTCATGTATTCACACTTATTCAAAATCACATTCATTTGATGTACAATGTTTCCAATGAAAATTAATAATTCAAGATATTGATAACGGATTGATATAAAATCTCTCATGTTACAAAAAATCCGAGCCCTACGACGGGCGTTAAGCCAGCAGCTTCGCGCTTTGAACACGCGTAGTGACCCTCAGCCTCGCAGCCACGTCACAACAGTCGATGTCATTTATCATGATCACAACAAAAATGGGTTTCGGCTGACTCGGAGAGAAATACCTTCTTGAAACTTTTACAGAGCGCGCTTACATTAATTGATAAAGGGGCAGTGGTTTCCCTGAAATCCAGGAGACGGGAACGACGTAATGAATTTCTGATCGCATGCATGGGACAGCTTCAGTCGCTAGTCCATCGCAGAAGAATTCAGCTGGATTCTTTTCCAGATCTAAGCAACTTTCCCCCTGAAGTAGCTGTATGTGTTTTGTCACATTTAAATGCTACAGATCTTTGTCTTGCAGCCTGTGTTTGGCAACACCTGGCTGATAATGAACTATTGTGGCAAAGGTGAGTTGGAAAGTTACATATTTTTTAATATTTATTTTGAGTTTGAAAGGCGCGATGCGGTGGAACCGACCACAGGTGATTTTAATTTGATGTTTGTTTTGAACCGTGGAATCTCATTTACATAGCTGTACTCTGTCATTTCCCAACAAGTATTTACTATGCCAAAAGTTACATGTAAACTCACTTCATATCCCTTTTTTTTCTTCTGTATATTCTTGTTTGTAAAAAAGGGTTGTTTATTGCGTTCAGACTGTACGTACTGGTGATTTTAGAATCTAAACCAACTTGAGATATTAAGTCAGTCTTAAATGTTTGCTTTGCGATTCCCTAAAAACACTGATAAACATTTACCTCGAGGTGGATTTTATAGACGTTTTATCCTAATCCCAGTTACTATGAGTATAAACTGACAACTAACGGCCTTTTATTTGTCGGTTTTTGGGAGAGTTTTGACTCTATCCACTTTTGACTTAAAAAAAAAACATTTGAGACAAAATATCACATGAATACGTTTATAAACGCCATCGATCTGTTCAAAACAATGTTACATATTTTATGTTTAAAATTTTGACTAGTTCGGTGTTAAAAGTAAAGCATTTTATTTATTTGGATAAAAGTGTTCCTCAATATTATCAGTTTTGGTTGCACCTTGGATCATTGACCATCATTTTCTGTGTCCATGTGCTACTCAGGCAGCTCAATGCATGGTAGTCACATGTGTTTGTAGACAAGACAGGGTGTATTTTATATTTTGATAGTGTATAAAGTACACTGGTGAAAACATGGCCTATTAAAATAATATTGTGCGGTTTTTTTTGTCACTTTGTACTTGCAGTCTTGCCAAATCCACATGGGGATATGTTTCAGCTTACAAGAGGAAACACCAGGTAATTAAATGCACTCCCTAGATGTAACCTCAGGAAGTCTTAGACTGCTTGCAAGCTGTCTTTCCTCTTAAATCCATCAAGGTCTTACTTTAGCTACATACAGTAATGTTGTTTGCACATTATCGTTTGCAATCAAGGCGGTTAACAAAAAGGGATTGGGACAAGAGTTCAAAAGATAGGCTGCGGACTCTTCTCTAGTAAACGAGCCCTTTGTTGGCCCAGAAACAGAATAGTTGACTGGTCAATTTTCCACTGTCCCCTTTTGCAGATCATTGACAGTTCTGTGGGTAATAGTTTCAAAGAAAGTTAGTCAGAACTGACCAGAAACATTGACGGATCCAGTGGTAATCTCTTAGAAGCTAAAACATACAGTGATATCTTGCCTACGAAGAACAGATGGAAACTGAGCATATGGATTTAGAAAAAAGTGTAATTTCTGAGTTTTGTCTTGTCTCTCTTTGTTCTTTGGTTTGCACTCTTTTACCACAGCTTGCTGCCTCACCTCTCACTCCTCATGTGTATGTCTTTTGCATGGGGCAACTTTGAAAAGAAAAAAGATTTGGCTCATATTAGGTAATCTAAGCTTTAAGGTCTGCAGAGCCTGGTTTCCTGGATTTGATGGCTGAAAAAAGTTCAGTGATATGAATGCTTTTCAACAAATGTTTCCTTGGTGACAAATAAAACTGTTGAAGGCATTTTATACCTGCCAACCTTTTTACATTTATAGGCGTGACATTTTTTATCGTAAGAGTGCCAAGCTTTTTCGTAAGGGTCCGATAATACCCGAAGATGTCCGAAGACGTTCCGAAGACTTCCGAAGATGTTACAAAGAGTTCCATCTAACACGAACACAGGAACACAAAGGAACATTGACTTCCCTACTAATAAAAGAGAATTGGGAGAAAGTCGATCATCCACATAGACTTTTCTTTTCTCTGTTTGGTTCTGGTTTTTCTAAATAATTAATATATTTTATCAAAATGTGTCAGTTAATGCTGTTATGGCTCAAACTTTTCTACCAGGCATGACAAATTGGAACACAGGCGTGAGAACCAAATTTTCGATCTGCATGGCGTGACAATCACGCCTTAGGCACGACACTTGACAGGTATAGCATTTGTTTAGCTCTTGCGGGAACATTTCTCGTGAAAAGGATTTGTGGTGAAATTTTCTTTCTGTATTTAAAACCATACTACAAAAAAACCCCATTTGATTTAGTTTGAAGCTTATTTATGAACATGTCAGCTGAATAGAGTAATGCAAGACCTAATTTGCATTTGTAAAAAAGAAAATGTTTTTGATGGCTTCATTCATGAAAATTCAGGTTAAACAGACAAAGATGTGTCTGTAAAAACTGCCAATGAAAGTGAATTTCTTTGCCTTCTTTGTGCTGTTAGGAAACGCGAGTCTGATCTTATGCAAGTTTTGTGTCACTCTGGGGTTAAAAAGCATTGGATATCCTGAGTTTGAATTGCCAATCAGAGCACTCGAAAAACACTATCCACTGTTTTAGTATAATACACCAAATCAATATATTATTATTTTATTCTATTGTAGGGAAAGCTTTCTTTCAAACAGCTTTACATGCTTTTAGATGAAGGGACATGCCTCTTCAATTATGATCCTCATCAGGTAAGGAAGCACTTATATTTCATTTGTTATGGATGAACATTCCTCCAAGATGTTATAACATACAAAACAAGTACTGCCATTCCAATAGAATGGAATTGATTTATGGTCAGCAATTAAACTGTAAACAGGCATTATCTTTTCTGTTATTAAGCATTGATTCAACTCAGTTCTGCAACAGAAACATAATTTAAAACAAGCAGTATTTAATAGGTTTAAAAAGCAAAACATCTTGACTCTGAACAAGCATCATTCTTTCTAGTAAATTCTCTGTCTTCCGTGCAAAAATATTAACCCTGTCAGCCTTGATCAGAATGGCAATGTGTTCATCAGTTTGTTTTTTAAGATTATCAATAGAAATCCTCGCAACTTTGATTTCATCATAAATGCCAATTATGCAGGTAGAAACTAGTAATAATCATAGATTATGGATCCACATTCATCTTATCCTCCTGCCTGTTGGATTCCGGCAAAATAGGAAAAGTGAGCAGGGTGGGGGGAGGGAGAGGGGTAATTAAATTTTTTGAAGGTGTTGTTTTTGTTGCGAGTATCCATCAGATGTAGCCTATTTTCCATTACTACATAGCCTGTTTCAGGCTCTCATATAGTGGGGAAGATGCAAACACATGTTCTCAATTCAGCAGACCTAACTATCTCGGAGCCTGGATCGAACAGGCTAATTACTGCAACAATAGGAAACTTGTATATCATGACCTCCTGACATAATAGCCCCCGATCTACACTACTCGGTAAGTTAAATTGGAAAAGAGCTATTTCCTTTTAATTAGCTATTGCAGAGCACGACAACTCAGTGGGTTATTTAATTTTGTTTGATATTGTGCAAAGCTTTGCAATTCTTCACAATAAATTCAACATGACAAAAACTATTGCCAATCTTATCAGCAAAGGAAAATGGTCTTGAAAAGCTTAGATTGGAACCAGGAGTCATACCCACCTTTTGCCAAGACCAAGACTTTTATTGATACAACCTAGAAGACACCTGAATGACATTACGTCTTACAAGAAATACTCATCTTATGTACCATGCACACACTCCACATTCGTGAAATATGCAAGCGGTAAACAAGAACTAGTCCAAGAACATGATCACCAGCATGACATCTGCATGAAACCGAGACTAGAGAAAACAAAAACGAGTCCAAAAGAGTCCAGTTTCCTGCAACCAAACAACAAATGATATTCTTATCACAAACAGTTTACTTGAAATGATAATAAATGTAAGGATAATATTTTTTTATTCCTTTTGTTTTGTTCTAGGGAATGATTTATCTCATAAGGAATAACATAATGGAGGATTCAGTTGTAGAAATTGCTAAATTTATTAACCGTACCGGAGTGCTCAATGGCAAATCAGTACGAGAATATCTCAATACAAGGTTTGTTATCCTCCCAATAAACTCAAGACCTTTCCTTTGAATTTCTGAAGTACTTTTTGCTGGACACTTTGATGATAACATATTGTCTGTTCACTATTTTGTACAGACGAGATGTTTTGCAAGAAATTGTAAATATGCAGAATTATGAGGGAGTGTTCCTTCCTTTTGCTTTGAGGTAATGTTCGAAAACTTTAGCTTAAGATAGTTATTATACATGTATGTCTGTGTGATCTGGTTCAAAACTATTTACTGGGTTGCACACATGGCCCCATAAAATGATCAACCACAGACTGTTTACTTAATGAGAAATACTGTAAGACAGTGGTTGAAAAGACGTTAATAGAAAAAGTGAACCCTTTGATGGTATCTTAGTGGTTGCTGGCCAACAGTGAATGGGAGTTCCACGGACCAAAGAAGGACACAAGTTTTACAGCTGTATTGTACCCTTAAATTTTTCCCTGTTTGACATAATTAACTTTTAACACAATCTTGTCTTTTTATTGCAGGCAGTTTTTTGAAAGAGTCTATCCCCCTGATCAAAGAGGAGAATTCTTAGACACTCTTTTAAACAAATTTTCTGTTCAGTTTTGTGCTACAAACCCTACTACCTCCTTCACTCCTGGTAAGTTGAGATCAATAATGGCTGGTTTACTGTTGCCAGTAAAGCTTGCTTGCTAAAGGCTCGTTCTCACAAGTAGCACAAACAAAAAATAACTTGAGCAAAAGTGCAAGGGATAGAGTGTATTCACATCTACAGAGCAAAAGATAGTGTTATCTACCAGATAAATCACTATTCAGTAGATAAGTATAAGGGAAACCAACACTTTCCTCTGGATAGAGATTAATGCAGTGGATAGCGTTATCCACGTATTGAACAACTGCGGCCAGATGTCTGTCTTGTCAATTCAAGTAGATTTTACTGTATAACTTCTCAAATTGCTCATTATGTTCCTTCAAGTCTCTTTATAAGAGGTAAAGCAACTATATTTTGAAGGTGATAACTCATAACTGTAATGGACTCATTTACCCCTTCCGCCCCACTCTCTCTCTCTCTCTCTTTTTCTTCATCAAAGCTCCATTTTAAGGGTATTTAAAACTATCTAACTATCTGGTCTCCACTGCTGGTCTCCTCCAACGCATGTTCAAACTCAGGCCCTGAGAAACAGCTAGGGTCTTCAAAAACTTGGAATGATCATGCAGGCTGTGATTTAAGATCTTGTTTCAGTTCAAATGATTGCATCATTAGCCATTGCCTCCTTATCCTTCTTTCGTTGGTCAAGTCTAAGGGGGTGTAAAAGAACCCACAGTATTGTGTGAATGGAGTAGGGGAAGTTTCCCTGGTGGACTGGTGTATGTTTTACACATAATTCACATCATGGGCTGGATGGGGTATTAAGCTCCTCAAATGGGGTGGTCGTGGCTTCCATTGGCACCCTTGTATGCTGATGCCAGAGCTTACTGTTAACATGTTAATCCATCACATTTCATCATACAGTATTACAGCAGTATGTGAATATTTGATGCTCATTTTGACTTGGTTGATCTCGATTTGAGTTACACTGTAGCAAGTGTGAAATTTTCAGCTATTGCATTTATTTTATTTATTTATTTTTTAATTCTCATTTTATTTTTTTCAGAGAGTGTTTTTATCCTTTGCCACTCACTGATACTTCTGAGTGTGGATCTAAGCAGTCCACATGTAAAAAACAAGATGACCAAAAGAGAGTTTGTGAAGAACCTGCGAGGACTTGTCCAAGGATTGGAGACTGATTATCTTGGGGATCTCTATGACAATGTGTATCTAGAAGGACACATTGCCTTAAAGGCTAAAAAATCCACACAGAAAACCACCTTTCCGTTTGAGAGGCCTTATGGGAAGATTTTTCTACAAATGTAATCATTATTTATAAATGTTAAGTTATGTCAGGCATTTTTGCTTTGTGTTTTGTTTGGAAGATTTGTAACAAAAGGTCTTAGATCCAAGTTTTATAACAGGAAGTACATATCAAGCACTGTCTTATGAGTTAGTTAACAAGTATCATTGTAAAAGCTAGGTCTTCATAGTGGCAAAAAGGTTTTAGAAAAAGTACTACTGTAAATGATTCATATAATGGACGAAAACAGCACCCACTTTTGTAAAAGTTGGTCCAAATTAGGTTAGCCTAAGAGGCAAATAATGGATTGTCGCTGAATACACTTTTTTTTTGTATGAGAGTATTTAGGGCCATTTGTCAAACAGTGTATTTGTAAGCAGTGAAATAACCAAGGTTGTAGCCTGCGATCAGGCGGTCCTTCTTTGCTTTTGTACGACTTTCGCGTTTTCCCTAAAAAAAAAACACCTGATCGGAGATTACCAAGGTCGGCCGTCGTGTGTAGTGATATACCATATCCCCCCATCCACAGCCCCCCTTCCCCCCACCCCTCTAAGAAACTGTTGGCCAAAACCCAAAACTGGATTTCTGTCAACGAAGGCGCTGAGTCGACGCTTAGGTTAACAAACTGAAAGACAGTGATTTGTTTGAAATTATCCACCTGACTCTCGACCTCTTTCAACACCAGGTGCAAAAGAAGGGAGTTTAAGCAGTGACGTTTTTGAGCGATGCACGTCAACCGGAAGTGAGCCTTTTTTCACTTTTAATATGCCTTAAGACCACGAAATTTGTATTGCTAAGTTTTTTTTTACTCTTATAGAGACGATTTGTCCAAACATTTGTTCAAAATCACGGCTCAAGACTACAAAACGTCCACTTCCGGTTGACGTGTGTCGCTCAAAAGTGTCACTGCTTAAAATCCTTATTATACCGTATGCTATATGTATAGCCAAAGCCCTTGGCAGATCCTGATTATTTGTAATTATCAAAAGATGTGATTAATAAACTTTCTGCAATATAATCGATGACTAAGGGCCTTTTACATAAAGGAGGGAGGCCCCAGGTAGGTGAGGTAGCCCGCTTAGGTGGGGTAAAAAACAATTGTAACCCTCAAGATTATTGAAAAGTCGCTAAACACGTACACAAAATATGGCGGGCAAACGACGTATTTTGGCGATTAACGTTCTTCTACTCTCACTTGCTGCAACCTTTAAGTGCTGTGGCTTTCTATTGTCACTTTGAATGATGCAAATTCTCCGCCAAAGTTGAATTTGGCGCGAATTTGATATAACACGATATAACACCAGGTTAGGCGGGTTACCCCACCTTGAAACATTTCCAGGGAAAAATGTGACTGCGGCTCTGGGAAGGCTACCCGGTCTGGCAGACCGAGCAACCTGCCTTGGTTGGTCACCCCACCATGCCTCCTTGATGGATAAGCTATGTATGAAAAAAATTTGTATGAGGCCTTGGGTGAGGGTGAGCTGATTGAGGAAATTTGCCAGTGCTGCTGAAGGGGAGGAGAGTGGGGAAACTTGCTTGCCCGTTGTTGAGTAAACTTGCGAGACGGGAACGAATTTGTTTGCAAAGGCGCCTAGAGAATTTCCCTGGGGACTGTAAAGGGCCAATAGAGTGCCTTACGAGGGAGTATGCAATTATCTCTACAGTGGCGGGTCCAGCACCAGTCTAAATTGCTTAAATAGTGTCAAGTGGGGCGATTATTCGAGAAATTAGGTGCTTCTTTAATATCTTTGCTGCAGTGATGTAAAGCGCTCACTGGATGGCCGTGTGTTTTCGAGTAAATACGGTACTTGAACATCAGTAATTTTTCTTTAATCCACCTTTTTTTACGTTAAAATCTAACCGAAACTGCAAAAAGCTTGTCCGTGTTAACAGTTATCATTTGAAAAACACGGGGTGTTTCGGTGAGTAGTGGTATACTGTGAAGCACTAAACAGAATATATCATCCTGATGTATTTGGCGTAGAGGAGGAGTGAGACAAGATTTTTTTGCAATATGTATGGAAGTTCTCTGGTAGCCCTCGTTTTGACTACCTGTATGCAAACAAAGATGTCGAGCTAGGGCCCTCGAACGACATATTAAAGGGTTCAGGTGTAACTGTCATGCGAAACTGACTTGACATTTCTGAAGATCAGCTGCTTTCGTTCTACGACAGCTGTGAGTAGATGTTGCATACAAGTTGTCCGGCGCTTAGGATTGCCTACAGTTGGGGTATCTTTCAAATACAAACTTGGAATAGGTGACGAGCAGTTTTTTCAAAGTTAGTAGTACTTGTTGTGCGCCGACTGGAAAAAAAGTTAAATTGAAATACGGTATAAATTATTGTCGTTCCAGTTACTTCTGCTTGGAATTAGTGTGTCACTGAGGCCAAAATTAAAAGTGTTTACTCCGCGTCACCAAGTTTTATTACAAGGTAAGCTTGCATTAGTATTGACTGACGAAAATGTTAGTGGTAACCGTGAAGCACGCCAATTTTAGTCAACTTACTGTAACTGGAAGTCCCTCGCACCTTTCTAGTTCGTTAATTTTTGACTGACATATACCCGCAGTTCATATGTGAATTACTGATTTAGACATACATTTTTTTCCTCCATCCATCATCATTTAGTATAGTATATTATGTTCGTAAAATGGTGTAAAATGAATTATTGAAAGGATAACTCAGTGGCCAACCACAGCCATTGTTAATTTGTCGAATTATCGATATTTGACTTGTGAGGGTACGTGAAAACATTTAAATTCCCTCTATCAACCTATGTGTCACCCATTTTCATCCCTGAGACTCGCAAAAATATTGAAATTTATGGCAACTTTAAAATTTTCTTCCGGTTTTCTCTCACGCAAACCAAATCTTTGGACTCGTAAAAAAAATGCCACTTGTCTCAATAGACACTTGCCCATAGCAGGTTATCTTAATTCACTTTGCTCCAGCTCGTATGCAATAGATTCAAATTTATTAAACATTTACAATAAGGATTTATTTTTGCTGAGATCACCAAACAAAATTAAATGTCTAAATGCAAAAAACTTCAGTGAAACCTGACGTTTTGCGGACACGGTCATATCTATTGTTGACACTGAGCGGAAATATCAGATGAAAATTATGACGAAGTTCGCTCTCGTCTTTTCCAGGGAATCAAGCTTTCTAGGATAATTCACAATTCAAGGAATGAATTCAAATATAAATGTTCTTTCGTCGGCCGGTCAAGAGCAATCCCTGAGAAATTGTCAGAAATTTTTATAGATTGATAGGGCATGTTTCATAGTAATTGGCGGTCGGTGGGCGTGGCCAGCGATTATTTAATTATGAGGGAAGATGCCTCGATCGCGAAATGTTCCTGTTTATAACTTTGCTCAGTTTGAGAGATTGAAGCTTGAACTCAGCATAGCATATGTGGTATAAAATGAGGGGAAAGTAGGTGAGTATCCGTGATTGCTACAAAGTGGCCTTTCGCTGGCCTCTAACTGTAACTATACACGCTCTTGAAATACAACTTAAAATTGAAGGCAAGGCTGATCGGACAGCTAATGGTTACGAATTTATTTGTCCAATATTTCGACTAGACAAAACCAGTCTTCATCAGGGACTGGAAAAGCTAAGTGACAAGATCCGGCTTTCACTCGCTGCTGTTTGTCCAATTGGTCCTTGCAAGAATCGTTCGCGTCATATATATACAAATTGACCGAATACTTGAAAGACCACATAAAATCTCATTCGAAACATCAGTTTTGAGTCACACGTTGGCGATAAAGCGCGACAATAATGGACATGATATTGGAGGCAGCTTTTAATCACCTACGGTCACTTAGTAAAAATTCACTGCTGACGAATGGCTAATGTTTCCTCTGATATCAGGAAATGAAGCATCCAATTATTTTCTGCTCTTTGAGCGAATCAACAAGGTCGATAGTAATGAAAATTAAAGTCTGCCATTTTTGTAATTTTAAACCTCATTTACTACTTCGGATATCAGAGAAAGTAAAGACAGAAAAATGAACATGTCTTTTCACTTCCCGAACTTAAAAACTTAAGATCGCTTCCGGCACGGCCCATAAATTTTAGCTGCTCAGCCAGAAGTTCTCATTGCCTCCTCATTATCCTTTTACCTCAGGCTATCACGCCTAAGTACAAAAACAATTTCAACGGCGGCGACAAGGTGAGATATTTACACGAAAAATAATGTGGATAAACGATGTCTCATTTCGAAAAAACAGAGCAGTTTGAAATTTGAAATTGGTCACATACCCGTCAGCCAAGAATCGGGCTGTAATTTATCAAACGCACAATTTATTCAGGCACAAGGCGTACT